AAGCTAGGAAGAACTCTTGAAGACAATGGCATAGGAAAAGACTTCATGAACAAATCCGCAGTAGCACGGGAACTAGCAGAAAGAATCAACAACTGGGATCTCATCTTATTGAAAAGCTTCTGCGCTGCAAAAGAAACCATCAACAGAACTAAGAGACAACCTACAATGTGGGAAAAATTTTTGCCAGCTGCTTCTCAGACAAAAGACTATTATACATAAGATCCTAATAAAATTACTGACATTTAGAAATGGGAAGAAAGGAGCTAAAAGTGTAGGGAAGGTGGGATGGGTAGGGGAAGGGTAATAAGGGAAAAGAAAAAAATGTGAGATAATGAAAAGATGAAAATAAAGTGTTTGTAGATGGGGAGGGGAAGAGGGGGTGAAGGGAGGGCAGGAGTAAGGGGAAAAAATGAGAATCAAGACTTGTCATGTAGAGGTACAAGATCCCCACAATGAATGTAACTGTACTGTATCCCTAAAATGTACCAATAAACTCAAAGCTGAAAAAAAAAATTTCAAAGATGAAAAAAATGATGTTCTTTGCTAGAGTAAGAGTTACTTAGCTTTTTATTTGTTTGGGGGAAGGTCTCACTGTATTGCATAGGCTGGTCAAAAATTCCTGGTTCAGACAGGCTTGGTGGCACATGTCTGTAATCCTAGAACTTGCAAGGCTGAGGCAGGAGGACCACCAAGAGTTGGAGGCCAGCCTGGACTACATAGTGAGTTCAACACTAGCCTCAACTATAAAGCAAGACCCATCCTTACATCCCTGGAATAAATCCGACTTGGTCAGGATGTATCATCTTCTTAATGATCCTCTGTATTCTGTTTGCTAGTATTTTATTAAGGATTTTTGCATCTATATTCATTAAGGAGATTGGCCTGTAGTCCTCTTTTTTAGTTGGGTCTTTCCCTGGTTTGGGAATCAAAGTGATATTTGCTTCCAGGAATGAATTTGGAAGTATAGCTTCCCTTTCAATTTTATTGAAAAGTTTGAAGAGTAAAGGCAGTAGTTCTTCTCTAAATGTCTTGTAAAATTCAGCAGTGAATTCATCAGGGCCTGGGCTTTTCTTTGTTGGTAAATTTTTAATTACATTTTCAATTTCACTGATTGTAATTGGCGTGTTTAAAATGTTTTTATCTTCTTTGTTCAACTTTGGCAATTCGTAAGTATCTAAAAATCTGTCCATTTCTTCTGTGTTTTCTAATTTATTAGAGTATAGGTTTTCAGAGTAGATATTAATGATCCTCTGGATTTCTGTTGAATCTGTTATGACTTCGCCTTTTTCATTCCTGACTGCATGGATCTGAGCCTTTTCTTTCCTTTTTTGGATAAGATTAGCTAAGGGTTTATCAATTTTATTTATTCTTTCAAAAAACCAACTTTTTCTTTCATTTATTTTTTGTATTGTTTTCTTAGTTTCCATTGCATTGATTTCTGCTCTAATCTTTATAATTTCCTCTCTTGTTCAAGCTTTGGGTTTTTCTTGCTCTTGTTTTTCTAGGAGTCTAAGATTCATCATTAGGTTGTTTATTTGAGCTCGCTCTGTTTCCTATGTAATACACTATATTAACAAAGTCAAGGACAAAAACCATATGACCCTCTCAATAGATGCAGAAAAAGCATTTGAAATTCAACATTGACAAATTCAACATCCATTCATGATAAAAACCCTGCAAAAAATTGGAATAGATGGTCTATATCTCAAATTAATAAAGGCTATCTATGAAAAACCAACAGGCAACATCATATTAAATGGCCAAAAACTGAAAACTTTCACGTTAAAATCAGGAACAAGACAAGGATGCCCACTATTACCACTCATCTTCGATATAGTTCTAGAAACATTAGCCATAGCAATTAGACAAGAGAAAGAAGTTAAAGCAATAAAGATAGGAAAGGAAGAAATTAAACTGTCCTTATTTGCTGATGATATGATACTCTACATTGAAGACCCAAAAAACTCCACCAAAAGACTTCTAGACTTAATTGACAGATTCAGTAGAGTAGCTGGATACAAGGTGAACACCCAAAAATCAATAGCCTTCTTGTACACAAATAACAGACTCACTGAGAGAGAAATAAGGGAAACAATTCCTTTCACAATAGCATCCAAAAAAATGAAGTATCTAGGAATCAATCTAACAAAAGAAGTAAAAGATCTCTACACTGAAAACTACAGCACTGTGAAAAAAGAAATCGAGGATATAAAAAAATGGAAAGATATCCCCTGCTTCTGGGTAGGAAGAATCAACATAGTGAAAATGACCATACTATCGAAACTGCTATACAGATTCAATGCAATGCTGATTGAAATTCCAACACTATATTTCACAGAACTAGAAAAAAGAATCCAAAAATTCATTTGGAACCATAAGAGACCTAGAATAGCAAAAGCCATCCTAGGCAACAGACACATGGCAGTGGGTATAACAATTCCCAATTTGAAACTATACTACAAAGCCACTGTGATAAAAACAGCATGGTACTGGCAAAGAAACAGGCCTGAGGATCAGTGGAACAGACTGGAAGACACAAAAACAAATCCAGATGTACTCAGCTACCTCATCTTTGACAAAGGAGCTGACCATTCTCATTGGAGGAAAGATAGCCTCTTTAATAAATGGTGTTGGAAAAACTGGATTTCAACCTGCCAAAGATTAAAATTGGACCCTTATCTTTCACCATGCACTAAATTAAAATCCAAGTGGATGAAAGATCTAAATATTAAAACAGAAACACTAAACTTACTGGAAGATAAGTTAGACAGAACTCTGGAAGACATTGGCATAGGAAAAGACTTTATGAACAAATCCTCAGTAGCACGGGAACTAGCAGAAAGAATCAACAACTGGAATCTCATCTTATTAAAAAGCTTCTGCACTGCAAAAGAAGCCATCAAAAGAACTAAGAGACAACCTACAATGTGGGAAAAATTTTTTACCAGCTGCTCCTCAGACAAAGGACTATTATCTAGAATATATAAAGAACTCAAAACAACCAGCCCCCCCATTTATAAAGACCCAATTCAAAAATGGGCACCTGAAATGAACAGACATTTCTCAGACAAAGAAGTAAAAGCAGCAAGTAAATATATGAAAAAATGTTCCACATCACTGGTCATTTGAGAGATGCAGATGAAAACAACACTGAGATTCCACCTCACCCCACAAAGAATGGCTGCAATCAAGAAATCAAACAATAACAAATGTTGGAGGGGTTGTGGAGAGAAAGGAACCCTTCTCCATTGTTGGTGGGAGTGTAGACTGGTGCAGCCACTATGGAAGTCAATATGGAGATACCTCAAAGAGCTGGGACTAGAGGTACCATTTGAACCAGCCATCCCTCTGCTGGGTATCTTTCCAAGAGAACTAAAAGAATCATATCACAGTGATGTATGCGCACCCATGTTTATAGCGGCACAGTTTGTAATAGCTATAACTTGGAAACAGCCCATTTGCCCATGAGATGGAAACTGGATAAAGAAGATGTGGTTTTTCTTTAAAATTGAATATTACTCAGCCATAAAGAACGAGAAATTAGATTCATTTATAGGAAAATGGATACATATTGAGGATATACTCCTAAGTGAAATAAATAAGTCACACATGTGTAAATACCGAATAGTTTCTCTGGTGTGAATAAACTGTAATAGTACATAAGATCATAATAAGATAACTGACATTGTGAAATAGGAAGAAAAGGGCTAAAGGTGTAGGGAAGGTGGGATGAGTAGGGGAAGGGTAATAAGGGAAAAGAAAAAAATGTGAGAAAATGAAAAGATGGAAATAAAGTATTTGTAAGTGGGTAGGGGAGGAGGGGGTGAAGGGAGGGCAGGGACAAGGGGAAAAAATGAGTACCAAGACCTGTCATGTTGAGGTACAAGATCTCAACAAAGAATGTAACTGTACTGTATACCTAAAGTATACCACTAAACTCAATTAAAAAACAACTATAAAGCAAGACCCTGTCTCAAAAAAAAAAAAAAATGAACAAAAAAATTTCTGGTTCAAGTGACCCTCCTGGCTAAGCCTCCCACACAATTGGGGCTAAAGGTGTGAACTGCACACCAGGTTGAAAGTTCTTTCTAGCTTGTGCTGTGCATATGTATGTCAAATATTGATATGGATTTAATTCACTCTTGCTAGTTCTTGGCTTTTGGCCTCAAACTCAGATAATTTTGATATTTATTGAAACTAGGTTGATATCTTTAGCAAATATTATTCTGATACCACTTTGGCTTGTTTTTAAATATGACATCTTGATTGACTGATTGACAGATTAATTGTTTGAGCTGGGGAATCAAGGCCAGAATCTCAGCCATGCTAGGAAAGCTCTGTACCTATCATCCCCAGTCTCATTTTAACTCTAACCTCAGCCACAGAGGAGTAAATCCTTTTTCATGCAGTAGCTCTTCTGTTAAGCTATGAGTTTTCTCATGAGTTTTTGTACTTCAAAAATGTGTCTAAAATTTCTGGAAAATTAAAACATGTGAAATGTGATCAGTTCTACAGCCAATCGTCATGTCTTAAGGAATTTGTCCCAATGTGGTGCTGGAGTATTTGAATATTTTAACTCAAAATCCAAACATAGCTGGAAAAAACAGGTATGTTTTTAAATATCTTATTTCTAGTTACATATTTAAGTTTGGAAATATTATCTTCTTACAAGTCTGGCAATAACTTCTGTATTCTCATGAATAAATAGAGAAGCTATTCAGATGCAAAAGCTGCCAAAGATGTGAACCTTACCCTTAGGTTGTGCTAATTTTGTAGTTAAGCCAGAACACAGTGGTTACTCATTTGATTTCTGCTTATAATGACATAGATTCCCCTCCCCCTATTTTTGAAACAGGGTCTCACTATGTAGTTCAGACTGCTCTGGAACTCACTGTGTAGCCCAGGCTGGTCTCAAACTCACAGTGATCCTCCTGCCTCAGCCTCCCAAGTGCTGGGATTACAGGCGTGCGCCACCATGCCCAGCTTTTTTTTCCCCTTTTAAAAATGTTTTATTTTGGGACAAGGTCTCACCAAGTTACTAAATTCTGCAAGCTGGGGTTGAACTTCTGATTTTTCATTTAGCAATAATTATGCCTCGGATAAACCTCATTGGCTACAATACTGCCACTGTGCAAAGATTGAACTTGTGATTTTTCTACCTCAGCTTCCCAGAGTGCTTGGACCACAGGCATGCACTATCCTGCTGGCTCACAGATTGACTTTTTTATATGAAGTACACAGCCCTTTCTATCCATGGGTTCTACATTCAGAGATTCAACCAACCATAGATGAGAAATAAATTTTTAAATTTGTGTCTGTTCCAAATATATGCAAACATTTTAGTTAGCATTATTCCCTAAATTATATGACAACTGTTTACATAGCATTTACATGGTATTAGGTATTATATATAATGTAAAGATGATTAAAATATGATGGAGGGTGTTCATGGATTCTAGCAAATATGACATCTCTTTTTATGAGTCATTTGAGCATCTTCAGATCTGGTGTCAGAGGAATCCTGGAACTTGCACCCTACAGATATTGAGACAGGCTGTATACTGCGCTGGGATTCACTTTTTTTTTTTTTTTTTTTTTTGAGACAGGGTCTCTCACTAGTAGTTGAGACTGACCTGGAACTCACTATGCAGCCCAGGCTGGTCTGTAATGCACAGTGATCCTCCTGCCTCAGCCTCCTGAGTGCTGGGATTACAGGTGTGAGCTACCATGCCTGGCTGGGATTCACTTTTTATTGTGGTCAAAGATACATAAACTCTATCATTTTAAACTTTTTTTTTTCCTTTAGTGCTGAGGATCAAACTCAGGGGCTTGCACATGCTAGCAAGTGCTCTACTGAGCTACCTCCTGAGTCAATTTTTAGTGTGCAGTTTAGTGGTATAGAGTACATTCACCATGGTTGTAGTGTTCCACAACCATCCCTCTGTCTCTCTCAGAACTTTTTTATCATGTCAAAAACTCTGTAGCCATCAAACAATAACTCCACATTGCCTCCTGCTATAACTTCTACTCTCTGTGCTGTCTCTGTGAATTTGCCTGTTGACTGTCTCACATAAGTGGAACCTTAAAACCTTTATATCTTTGGATATCACATTTTTACCCATTCATCCATCAGTGGGCCCTTAGGTTCTTGCGTATGATTTTGCTGGGAGAATTAGCGTGTGAGTGTCCTTTAGTTCTTGTGTTTAATTCTGGGTATGTACCCACAGGCAGAATTGCTTGATCTTATGGTAATTCTGTTTATTTTATTTATTTATTTATGGTGGTACCAGGGACCAAACTCTGGACCTTGCACTTGTGTCACTGAGCTAAATCCCTCGCCCCTCTGTTTAATTTTTTTTTTTTTTTTTTTTTTTTTTTTTTTTTTTTTTGGTACTGGAGATCGAACTCAGGACCCTGTGCCTGTGAGGCAGGCGGCTGAACCACTGTGTTTAATTTTTTTTTTTAAGGATCTGCTATTCCAGCTTCCACAGCAGCTGCACCATTTTATATTCCCAGCATGTACCTTTCCTGATTATCATTATTTTCCATTTTTTGTTTTTAATAGCCATCCTATCAAGTTAGAAGTCATATCTTGTTGGTTGCGTGGTGACTATGATGTTAGCTGCATTTTCATGTGTATATTGATCATTTGCATGTCTTTGGAGAAATGTCTATTCAAGTGCTTTGTTTATAGGATTAATTTTTGTAACTGGAACCTACTCTTGTCAAAGCTACATATTAGTAATAAGCTAATGTGTTAATTTTAGGATATTTTAAAATTTTTCCACCTGTTTTGCTTTTTGGCTTTTTTTTTGTTTTTTTTTTTTTTTTTTTTTTGTACCTGGGTCCTTTTTGTGTAACTCGGGTCCTTGCGCTTGTGAGGCAGGCAGCAGAATTAGTGAGCTAAATCCCTGGCTTGGATTTTTTTGAGATACCATCTCAGTATATATATAGACTACACTGGTCTCAAATAACAGTTCTCCTGCCTCAGCCCCCCAGCTGCTGGGATTACAGGTGTGTGTCACCATGCATGGCTTTTTAAAGATGCTTTGCTAATTTAAATGATGTGATAGTACCATTAATAAAAATTCTATTTAAAATCTCTTTGGGAAATTCCCCTGTAGCAGGAAGAAGTGTGTGGGGTGGGGAATAAAAACCAAAGAGCTAGAAAATCCCCGTGGGATAGAAGGTAATTTTCAGTGGTTAATTTACTTTTTTGTGGGAGTACTGAGAATTTAACTCAGCACCTTTGCACTGAGGTATGTCCCCAACACCACCACTCCCCCTTTTCTTTATTTGTTTAGGTACTGGTATTAAACTCAGGACCTTGCACTTGCCCCCCTTTTCTTTTTTGAGACAAGGTCTCACTAAATTGCTAAATTGCCTAAGCTGGGCTTGAGCCTATGATCCTCTTACTTCAGCTTCCCAGAGTGCTGGGATTTATAGGTATGTACCACTATTCCCAGATAAGTTACTACTCTTTAGATGTAACATTAAAAGAGAAATCGCTCATGTTTCATTAATAGATAGAAGACCAAATGAATAGGTTACGCTCCCCAAGTTGCCACTCTGTCTCCATCAAATGGCAGCAACTTAATGCAGATGCACAGGAGCCCCTGCAGGCCCCAGCCCAAGTTCCATCCTTGTTCCACAACGATCGACTCCTTGTATATGGATTGATTTCTCGTTGCATGCAGGTAAGAGGATGCACTGTTTGTTACATTGTGGGAAGAACAATGTTTCTTGCTTATGTTCTTGTTCTTTTTTCCCCTCTCTCTGGCTGGCAGATTTTCCTGTTCTGGGAATGTAGCTTGGGAGGTTTCTGGTGTCCACTGAGAGGGAGAAGTTGTCACTGTTACATTAACCAAGACACTGTGTAGTAGGGAAGCTAATGAAGAACTAATTGTTTTTCTACTTCAGGCAACTCTGTGTGCACTAATTCAAGAGAAGGAATTTTGTTCAATGGTTTCAACTACTGAGCTTCAGAAGACAACTGGGACTGTAAGGTTCAAAATTTAACTATGGGGCTGGGGGTGTAGCTCATTGGTAGCATGCTGGCCTAGCATCCCAACGTCTTGGGTTCATTCATCAGCACTGCCAAAGAAAAAGAAAAAAAATTTAAAATATGGACTAAAAGTTGTGATTTTACATTTATATGTCCGAAGTCCCTGTCATTCCTTTGTCAAGGTTCTTTGTGGGCGTGTGTGCACCCACATGGAGGGTGGTGATCTGTGCCACCGGGGACACACCCTCTAGACCTTCTCCATTCTTCATCTGGCCTTCCTAGGTCTAGGTGTCCCTGTGGGCGTCAGGGGGTGTGCATAACTGCAGTGCAATATGGGATTTTATGTGAAACTCTTTACTGAGGTTCTCAGAGATGCTTGTGACTCAATAAAGGTTAAGTGCTACTGATTCCTTATGCACTTAAGAGTACTAATTACAGGGACCGGGGATTTAGCTCAGTGGTTCTGCCACCTGCCTTGCAAGTAAGAGGTCCCAAGTTCGATCCCTGGTCCAAAAAAAGTATTAATTATAATAGTACTGCGCTATTGCTTTTTGGGCTTTTGGCTAAGATCAAGTTATAGTACTGAGCTAAGAGGATTTTTTTTTTTTTTTTTTTTTGGTACCAGGGATCAAACTCAGGCCCTTGTGCTTGTGAGGCAGGCACCAGAACCACTGAGCTAAATCCCCAGCCCCTGAGCTAAGAGTAAACCACAATATATTGATTTTTTTTTTCACTTTTGGATTATGAAAGAAAAAACTATCCCCTCTTTCCTCACAACACTTCCATCTTCAGATGTGTTTTCCCCACCCCAGTCCCTGACACCAGCTATATCTGCTTCAGTTCCACTCAGTTCTGGCACTGTCTGCCCAGAGATAGCACAGTGTCCCCAGGGAAAGGTCTCAGTCCCACAAGACTTCCCCGTCCAAATGGCAATGGTAAGCGATAGATCCTCAGGTTGCCCAGACTTCTGCCTGAGTTGGATACAAGTTGCAGGTTACCTCAATCCTTCCTCAGGTTTAGTAATCTGCTATAACAATTCATAGAACTCAAGAAAGCAGTTCACTTATATTACAGATTTCTTGCTCTAAAGGACAAAATTATAACACTTTAAAGATCTTAATTGACTTTATTTGCTGTTCTAGAATCAGGCAACACTTCATTTCACAGAACAGGATAAATATTCCAGTGGGCTGAGCAGAAGAGGTTATATTTATAGACTGAGAAGGGCTGAGGAAAACAAAAAGAAAGGACACAAAGCAGATCATTCATTTCAAAGTTACTTTCCTGCATCAGGGTGTAGCTCAGTGGTAGTGTTACTTAGTTTGCTGTTTTTGTGTAAGGATGAAAAACAGGGAACTTCATTCTTAGGATGATTGTAACTGGCCTGCATGGGGAACTTGATTGCTTTTTATAATTTTTCCTGGTTTCTTGGGAGGCCAGATAGCACCATTTTCATTTTTTGTTTTGTTTTGTTTTTTTTGGTTTTTTTTGAGACAGGGTCTCACTATGTAGTTGACTCTGACCTGGAACTCACTATGTTGCCCAGGCTGGTCTTGAACTCACAGTGATCCTCCTGCCTCAGCCTCCCAAGTGCTGGGATTATAGGCGTGCTCCACCACACCCGGCCATTTTCATTTTTCATCTGGTCTCTTGGGGCCTAGTGTAAGAGTTTAGACCAAAACAATGGATTCTTGTACATTTTGACACAATCTTGGAGAAATCTCGATATTTCTTTAAAAACTAGATCAAATGAGGAAATAAGGTAAAAGAATTGCATTGGGATTAAGTCTCCTTCCTTTAAATTGCAGTCTTTAGGGCCAGGGATTTAGCTCAGTGGTGCTATTGCTTGCCATGCCAGCACAAGGTCCTGAGTTTGATCCCTGGTACCAAAAAACAAAAAAAGAAATTGCAGTCTTTGAAGCTGTACTTCTTCTGTAAATGGTAGGCTTGTTAATGACAGAATCATAAGAGTTGGAGTCCCTGAGAACAGATGTGGCGTTGCATTGTGAGATCACCGTGAACAAGCCCAGGCCCTGCATGGCCCCCGTGGAGTTCCCATGTGGGTGGACATCCTGCCACTACGCTGGCTCTTGCTGAAGTGGAGGAGGAATTTTAAAGTTCTTAAATGAATTGA